TGAATTTTGCTAGCTTGAACCTTAAGCCAGCAGAATCGCTCCCATTAAGGGTGGTTTTATGGTGAAAAATTATTAGGGTGGTAATAAATTAGTGAAAAATAGGTGAAAAAATATACGCAAATATAAGCAAAAAGTTTTTTTTTCCGAGTTCTGCTAGCTTGAACCTTAAGCCAGCAGAGTCACTTCCCTTAAGGTTGGTTTAGGGGTGAAAAATTAATAAAGTGCTAATAAATTAGTGAAAAATGGGTGAAAAAATATTACGTAGGTTAAATTTGATTCCGCTCATTTGATTCAGCTTAAGGGTCCTGATATAGCACTTAAATATAAGACTAGTTCCAAGAAAAAATAGTACAGTTCCCTTAATACACATGAATAAGGGTGAGAATTAAATACGCTAAACAAAATTTAAATAAAATTGAAAAATACTATGGAGTGGTGACATTGGTTTACAATTAAAAATAAAAATTGTTCATGATCTATTTTCTGGTGGCATCTAAATGTAATTTACTACTTTTGGTTAAAAATAAGTTACTTATTGGCTTATTCCCAACAAGATTAATAAATTGAAAATAAGAATTATAAACATAGTTCGATATGATTAAAAATACAGGATTGTAAACAATACAGCGAAATGCATTTTGTAAATTTGGTTAATTAAGAAGATTTGTCTTTAATGTAACTAACAATTATGTCTATTTATTATTGATAACTGCAGCTTTTATGTGGTTTCGTCTTACAATTAAGGCTTATCCTCGAAAATTGTAACGGTAAAATTCAGAGAGATATCTATTTCAAAAATATCTTTCTTTACAAAAACAAAATCCATTCACGAAGAATATTCTAAACGTCATCTTGTACTAGACGTTAGCTTTATACCTACCTTATACAACCCCCTATTGTGTAAAGTCTTGGGTCTATACAATAAACGAGTGGGCGGCCTTCTATTCAGTGCGGTTTTGAATTAATGTTGAATAAAAACATTCATGAAATTAAAATGAAAGAATTTACGTCTATTAGTAGAAGTGCGATTTATAAAATTAGTACTTGAAGCATAAATCGCGGGAGGAATATGTGCATCAGTTTTCAAATATTTATTATTTACTATATAATTTCTAAATTGAACCACTTTCACTTCTTTAGGTAACAATGTATCTGTTTTGACAACTAATAGGTAATTAGACAAAATAATTATTAATTTTAAAACGGGAGTTTAAAGAATTAGAAAGAGGTAGCCCGGGCCCAGTTAAATGGTCAAGCTTATTCCAGTGGAAGCAATAAGGAGGATTATTTTTCGTTTTGGCACAGCTGACATGCTCTCTCTAGCACTACAACCCATGAAACTGTGGTAAAAAGCATGCTTTATTTATACGGTTGTGAAACACGACGATTAACAGAGACAGATTAATATCGAAGAAAGATATCTCGTCGAATTTAATGCAATAAAGTATGAGAATAGAAGGTACAGTCATGGATAGCATACAACGAAAGCAGCTCAAATGGGTACAGGTCCAATAAATGAAAGACAGTAGACTCCTAAAACAAGTATCTGTATGAACACCTACCGTAATCCAGAAGAGAGGATTACCTTAGAAAACCTTAGAAAAAATGAACGTCGGAAGACATTTTATTTTAGGTACATTTTTTGGACTAAAAATAAATTTGAAGAAAACCAAGTTCATGGTATTTACAAAAGCACAAAGCATCAAAGTTAAGCTAGTACTAGATAATACAGAAATTGAACAAATATCTTTGTACAAATACATTGGAGCATGGATCACAGAAGATACTGATTAAACAAAAGAAATAAGATGCCGCATTGGAATTGCACGGTCAACTTTTAATAGAATGAGAAAACTTTTTTGTAATCGAGATATCAATATATCGTTTCGGATAAGAATGCTTTGATGTTATATTTTCTTTACCCTTATATATGGGATTCAAGCTTGGTCACTTAAAAAATCCAACATTAAAAACCTAGAAGCATTCGAAATGTGGTGCTACCGACGTGTTTTGAAAATATCATGGATGGATCGCAAAACAACCGAACAAGTTCTCAAACAACTAGGAAAACAATGCGAAGTTTTAAATTCCATAAAAATCAGGAAATTAGAATACTTGGGGCACATCATACATCACACATCAAGACGTAAAATCTAGTTGTTACGCAATCTCCGTGAATGGTTTGGATGCAATTCAACTGAACTATTCAGGCGCATATCCAACAAAATGATAATTGCCAGAATGATTTCCAATCTCCGATAGGAGTGGAACTTGAAGAAGAAGAATAAGTACATTATTATTATATCATATTATATATATTTATATATTATATGATATAAACGATATTGAAAGAGGTTACAACATAGACAATCAACAAAATCTACATCGACAACTACACAGTGAACACCCAACAATAATAGAAGTGTCAAATGCCGTCCTAAAACTCAAAGACAATAAAGCCACAGGAATCGATTAAATCTGTTTTTTTTTGCAGTAAACCATAAACTAATAGTACTTATATGGCAAAATGAATTTGTACCAGAAGAATGGCTAAATGAAATAATATACGTTGCATAAAAAGGACGATTAACTGGATTGTAAGAACTATAGAGGCATTACTCTGTTAGCATCTTCACCTGTTAGCACCCTGCTTGGCAGGGTCACATATCAGATCAATTTACGGTTCCAAAGGCTTGAGACAGGGAGATCCTTTATCCACTACATTATTCAACTTAGTATTAGAAACTGTAATCAGAAAATGCAGCATGAGGATGGAAGAAACGATCATGAAAAATGAGCACCAGTGCTTGGCATTTGCTGATGATCTAACGATCCTAGCAAAAACCGAGTAAGAATTAAGAAGAGTTGTGAAGAAAATCATTGAAGAAGCACAGAAATTTGGACTGGAACTAAATGAAGACAAAACTAAATATATGATCATGGAAGGAACAGAAGGGAAAAAAGAAGACTTCAGTGTGAGGTCAGTAAGTGGTAAAAGCTATAGTTTTAAAAGGGTTGACAAATTTGAATACCTAGGTGTAGTTTTCGATGAAAATGGAAAAGAGAAATGGGAGCTCGTAGCCAGAATAGCAAAAGTGAATAAAAAATTAGGTGGTTTAAGAGCCCTACTGAACTCAAAATACGTTTCTAGACAAGGTAAACTCAAAATATATAAAACAGTAATTCCACCCACAGTAATATATGCCGGTGAGCCTGGACATTAAATAAGAAGGAAGAGGATACTCTGAAAAGATGGGAAAGGAAAATATTGAGATGCATATTCAGAAGACGGAAGGCAGAAGATGGTTGGGAGAGAAGAACCAACAATGAATTAATGGCTTTATACAAAGAACCTACTATTACCAAGTTCGTCAAGGCACAAAGAATCAGATGGTTGGGACATGTGGAAAGAATGGCAGCAAACAGAATTCCTAAACTAGTAATAACCAGAAAATTAATCGGCTCCAAAAGAAGAGGTAGACCCAGAACGAGGTGGATTAGTAAAGTGGACGAAGACCTTAAAAACGTGAAGGTGAGGGAATGGGAAAAAAGCACAAAATAGAAGCGGATGGAAAAATATTGTACACCAGGTCCTTCAGAGTAGTTAAGAATGTTATATATACATATTTAAGTTAAAGTTTTGTTTAAAATAATTGTAATTAGTTAATATTAGAATTATGTTGTAAAAAAATGCTCTAGGCCTTAACGGCCTGTTGTGCGTGTAAATAAATAAATAATAGAGTGCAAAAATCGAAAGAATCGCGTTTTTTGCATTAATTGTTAATCAATAAAAAACGGCTCCGAACTTTACGCAGGAAACGGGTAGGTTTTCTTCTTATAGGTCTACAATAACTAAAAAAGTTGTCAGCTACCTGGATTATTGAGTGTCACGAGAAAATCCTTATTAGCCTGGACTAATATGGCTGGACAAGCAAGTGAAGAAACAAACTTCATATATTATGTAAACTTTACTAACAAAAACGTTGAAAATAAATATTCCTATAAATATAAATAATCAAATTCCATATTCAAATACAGCAAAATATTTGGGTATTGTCCAATAAATATAAATAATCAAAATTCCGTATTCAAATACTGCAAAATATTTGAGTATTACTCTAAGCTTTTATGTAAAGAAGAAAAGAAAATAATAATTCTGATTGCAATACAAAAATATGTACTGGCTGATTGACCAAAATTCTACGCTGTTTCTACATAACAAATTATTATTATGTAAGCAAATACTGAAACAATAGTATTATTATAAAAACAGTATAAACATTTAGAAGGAAAATTTTACAAATCAACAGAAAATATTTCTATTCATATAAAAATTTAATCAAATTATAGGTACTTATTATAGGTACTGCTTATTTATATAAAATTTCCTCAATCGGAACATAAACGTCTTCGTGAACTACCCATTTTAAAAACAATTAACACACTGGTTTGTCAAAAGTCGAAATAAACCCTAATAATGTTATTCAACATTATTTATGACCCACCTTCGAGAGGGTATTATACTTCTTACCTAACCAACCTAACCGTGTTGGCGAGAATCCAGAAACTATCGACAAGGACAGCCTGTACTGGCCGAGAGAGAAAGTTACATTTAGCAAAATTTGAGATTTTAAAAGAAGTTTATACCAAATAGCTGCTTTGTGTTACACTTTATGTTAAAAATAAAAACAGATTCGAAAAGTGGGTCAAATTATGTAGTGCCCTATTTCAAAAAAAAAATTTTTACGTTTATTTTAACCAAAAATATTTGAAATTGTTTAAACAATTTATTAATTTACAACCAAACAGTGCACTAGAACTTTTTAAGACCTTTCATATAAAAAAAAGAATCATCTCAATATCTGCCATAGTTTTTGCGTTATTTGATATAAACTTTTACATTGGAACTTAGGTATGCCCAGAAACGCAAGGAACGGCCTTAAACTTAATGATAAGAGACATTATATAAATATATATTATATTATATATTATATAGGTACCTTAATATACCCGAAAAAGAGGTAAAACAAATCACCCTAAAATACACAAACTGCACTTATCACGAAACTAAATACAAGCACTGATATATTGTAAAAATTTTAAAACAATACCGAAAGTGAACTGCTATAAAATGAGCGTATCACTATTTATTACTTTACGCAGTTTGTTAAAAAAACTAATAAAAATGCACACTTTTATTTACCCATATATACAAACAAGGCAAAGGTTACTAAGTAACATTAATTTAATATGAAATTATTAACTTTAATGAGAATAATAATTAGGAGAGCTTCTTTGGTCAACTTAATTTCACTATATTTAACACTCAACCGGGCGCATGTCAGCAATTTTCTATTATTGATTTGTATAATATTTTTGATACTTTTGATTTATTTGTTAATTTTATAATTATTTTTAATATAACATACAAAGTATATACATTTTAACTACACTTTACCTACATATTTTCGTATTTAATATTATAAGAGAGAAAATTTTGCCGGCAATATTTTCGACTGGTATCAAAGTTTGTTGCCTGGCAATTTTTTTGGCAGTTAAATAACGAGACGTCAGTCGAGTAATTTTGTCAAAATTTCATTAGCGAAAATTGCCAAGAGGCAAAAAACTTAAATAAAACCAGAAGAAAATTTTGCCGGTAAATAAATTTCTCTCGAATGATATTCGAGAAGACTATTTCACGAGACAATTAATGCACCATATCAATGAAACATATTTTTTTTATTTACTAATAATAGTCGCTTCAACCACCTGGGTCATTAGCGACATTAGTTTACATTAGTTACTACATCATATTAAATTATATAAAGATGTTTCTTTTAAAAATCTAATTAAGTTTTTAGTATTTAAATGTTCACCTAATACTGTTTTTAAGTCACTGGAAATATTGTTATTTTTTCTGTTAACTGTATATTTTCCACATTCTGTTAGGATATGTTTAACAGTAATATTGACTTGACAGTAATCACATACTGGAATGTCTTCTTTACTTATTAGGTGCTTATGAGTAATATTGGTATGACCTAATCGAAGTCGAGAAATTTTGACTTCGTCAGCTCTTTTTAAGTTTACTAGACGCCACGGTTTCACTGTCGATTTAATTTCTTTTAATTTAGATTCCGATAAGTTCCACTTATTTTGCCACGCACTAATCACTTTTTCTTTAACGAACTGTTTTATATCACTGCAGATAGTCTTTGACACTATTATAGCTTGATCATTTTTGGTAGCTTCTCTTGCTTGGACGTCTGCGTTTTCATTACCTTGTATTCCCGTGTGAGATGGAACCCACATAAATTTGACTTCTGAACCAGATTCTTGTAAGGCAGCAAGTTCTTTCTTGACAAGTAAGGCTATAGGGTTCTTAGTATATAGTTGACCGATTGTTGTTAAGGAGTTTAGAGAATCTGTGATAATGACGGAAGAAGAATGGTTTGTACTTTTGATATGAATGAGGGCTTGTAATATTGCATATAATTCTGCTGTGTATATAGAAGTGGCTGGCATTAATTTAAATTGGGAAGAGGAATATGGAGTGACAAATGCTGCTCCTACGTCATTTGCAGATTTGGAGCATCTGTATAAATGCAAAAGCTTTTCCCGTAAGTCTCGAGTTCCTTTAAACATGACTGTCGGATTACAGTGGGTGATGTATCTGATTTGTTATATTGGAGTAGCCTCGTATTGATTTCGGGAATCATGATTAACCAGGGAGGTGGAGTTTTTACATTTGAAGGAAAGAGGTCAGAAATTTGGAGTTGTAGATCTTTTAAATTTCTTCGAACTCTTTCGTAGAATGGTGGATCGAATCTACTTTTGTTATAAGCTTCTAGGTAACGGTCCGTAAATTCATTTTGAAATACTGGGTGGAATTTGTTGCTGGCGACTGATGGGCATAAATAATTTCTTCGTAGATTAAGAGGTGGCTCTCCTGTGAGGCATTGGAGATTCTTAACTGGTGTGGTTCTAATTGCACCTATGGCAATGCAAAGTGCTGTGTTCTGAATGACTTCAAGTTTCTTGGTAACATGTTTTTTAGCGGAGGCATACACAATAGCCCCCATAATCTATTTTTGATCTAACGAGTGACTTGTAAATATTTAATAACGTGGTTTCGTCGAATCCCTATTTTTTATTTGATAATGTTTTCATTGCATTTAATCCATTTTGGCAAGACTTTTTTATTTCTAAAATATGTTGTTTCCATGTTAGTTTTTGGTCAAATACCATTCCGAGAAAGTTAATTTTTTCTAAGAATTTGAGCGGCTTGCCATACAGTTTTAAAGATGTTCTCTGTGGCCGGTGTCTTCTTGAGAAAAGCATGCATATTTCACGCCTACTGACATTAACCATATCTTTAATTTATAAATAGATTCTTGTAAGTGTTTTTGAATCATTCTCATATTCTTGCCCTTTGCAAATAGAACCAGATCGTCGGCATATAGTCTTCCCTTAACTATCGGGGAGCAGTGATCCAGTATATCATTGATAGCTACGAGAAAAAGAGTTGGGCTCATAACTGACCCCTGAGGTGTTCCGTTTTTCTGAATTTTTTTTTATGAAGTGGAATTATCGGCGCGAACAGAGAAAGCTCTTGACTGAAGAAAGTTTTCTATGAATCTTAGCATATTACCCCTGATTCCCCATTTGTGTAATTTTGATGTAATATTAAATCTCCAAACCGTGTCGTATGCCTTGGTGATATCGAAGAATACTGCGAGGGTCTCTTGATTATTTAAAACCTTCGTATATCTCTGACTCTAAATCTACGCATGTATCTATTTTGACGGAAGCCACTTTGCTGAAGAATTAAAAGTTTTTCTTGTTCTAAGTATCACAACAGTCTTTTGTTTATAATTTTTTCTAGAACTTTGCATGCTACATTAGTGAGTGATATAGGACGATACGAGACTATATTTGTTCTGTCTTTGTTGGGTTTGATCAGAGGAATTATAATGCTATCTGACCATACAGATGGAAAAACCTGATTTGTCCAAATAAAATTGTACAATTTTAATAGCCAAGAACTTTCATTTTCTGGTAGGTTTAACAAAAATATTAATGGTATACCGTCTGGACATGGAGCGGAATTTTTACTTGACATTAGGGCATCCTTGAGTTCTTGCATTGTAATCGGTACATTAAGTATATTATACTCGTGAGTGTGGTACTCCAACTTTGTTTTCTCTGCGCTTTCTTTCTTAAGCTTAAAGTCCGGTGGATAGTTATCGTTACTTGAATTGGTCTCAAATTCACTGGCGAATAGTTTAGCAATTTCATTTCGATCGGTTATAATTTTGTTATCTTTTGCTAGGAAAGGTATTTTGTTTGAACATTTTTTTCCAGATATTTTTCTCATATTTTGCCACACTTTACTTGCTGGGGTAGAACTATTTATACTTGAAATAAATTTTTGCCATGACGTTTTCCTGCATTTTTTAAGAATATATCTAGCTTCCGCTCGACGTCTTTTGTATTCTGCCATAGTTTCATTGGTTTTATTATGCTTAAACCTATTGAAAGCTCTTTTATATATTTTTACGGCTTCTTTGCATTCTGAGGACCACCATGGTAAAGGTTTATGATATTTTAGTGTATTTGTTTTTCCAATATGATTTTCTGCTGCTTTGTTGATTATTGATATGAAGGTATCTAGGTCTTTATCTATGTCATTAAGAGTAACATCTTTTATGTTGTTTATTTCATTTTGTACATATTTTGTAAAATTTTCCCAGTTTGCATTTTTAATATTCCATTTTGATGCAGTAGTAGCAGTACTGGAGTCTTTTTGTTGTGGAAACGCAATTTTAATGGGGTAATGATCACTTCCGTATAGGTACGGAATAACGTCCCATTCTAGAGTTGGGGATAATGTTGGATCACATAACGATACATCAATGACTGACTGACTACCCGTTTGAATATTAAACCTCGTGGGCCTACCATCGTTTAACAGATTAAGATTTTGTGAGGTCATAATAACTTCCACTATCTTGCCTCTAGCGTTAGTTTTTGTTGAACCCCATATAGGGTTGTGTGAATTGAAATCGCCTAAAATAATACGAGGGCTGGGAATTTGTTGCAATAGGTTATCAAAATCTTCTTGGTCCATAGTTTGATATGGAGGTAAATATATGTTGCAAATATTGATTTTTTGTTCCATGTTTACTGAAATAGCTACTGCTTCAAAGTTCTGAGTGTTGATATGTAATTGATGAGCTTCATATTTTTTATCGACGTAAATAGCAACCCCGCCACTAGCTATCTCAGCGTTTTGTCTGTGTTTGAAAAAATTTGTGTATTCTTGAAACTTGAATGCGTGGTTGGAATCTTTAAAGTTATTTTCTTGTAAACAAAGTATCAATGGGTTGATTTCAGAGATAATATGCTTAAACATTTCGAAGCGACTGTAGAAACCATTTACGTTCCATTGTATTATGGACGCCATTGTTTCTATTTATTTTATGCTTTACGATGAATCGAAAAAGGTGTCGGATTCTTCTTCCAGAAGTATCTTCATCGCTACCGGGTCCATTTTTAGTTGCTTCATAATCTGACGTCTTATTCTCGTGCTTCTGTTTTTCATACTTCGATCGGTGTAATAAGGGTGAATTTTAGATAATAGTTTCAAAAAATCATCAACGTTCTCCGTATATGATTTAACTAAGCTTATCGGATCTTTGTTTCCTTTAACATTTTCAAGGAAATCGACCATTTGGTCAAAACTGAGTTTTAACGATTCTTCTTCGAATATTCTCCTAGTTGGTTCCAGTAACGGCAATATTTCATTAGATTTTGGTTGGTGTGTTTTGGCCAAGGATGATTCTTCTTCAGTAATAGTTTTAGTTTTCTTCTTTCTCTGGGTTGTTGGTACTGCAAATGTAACTTCAGTTTGTGAGGACGGAGGAGGTGTTATTACTTCTGTAATACTACGTTTGGAACTTGTTTTATGTAAATATTTTGATCCCATTTGTTCTGAGGTGGGCAAGGAAATTTCTGTGGTTGGTTGTTTTTCTATTTCGTTATTATTATATTGTGTATTTGGTGCTATGTTATGGGTTAAAGATTGGGAAGGTGAAGATTTATCATTTATTTGTTGGTCTGTCGTAATAGGGCTTTTCATTGATAGG